CTACGGAGACGTGGACAGCCCGCTGCCTAAAGGTGAGGCTGGGGGGCCTCCGACCACCCGAGAATCAGAGCTGAAGCTCCGCCTACGCCTGGTGGAGGAGGAGGCCAACATCTTGGGGAGAAAGATAGTGGAGCTGGAGGTGGAGAACAGGGGGCTGAAGGCTGAACTGGATGACATGAGGGAGGACAGGTACTTTCATACATCAGATTCCTGATGGTTAAGCAGTAGATAATGATGGGTGAAATTTCATGATAGTTTTTAAGGAATAAGAAAGTAGATTTTTTTTTACGATTGGCTTCAACTTCAGTGTATAATGCATTTATCAGTTCCTGAAAATGGAATGAGAAACTTTAAGCTGTAACCTAAAACTTGCAAAAATGTTCCCCCTCCTAGCATGGCTGCATCAGGAGTGGATAGCTCTGGCAGTGGAGGTCAGCAGTGCAGAGAGCAGGGCGAGGCTCTGTTAGAGCTCAGACAGCAGCTTCAGCTGGTGGAGGACGAGGCCGAACTTCTACGCAGGAATTTAGCAGATGTGGAAGATGAGAACAAAAAGGTATGCAGTTAAGACTGCCTTGTTATTGAAGGACAACGTAGCTACATAATCTAGCTACGATAAATATTGATTGTACATAAATTCTATATGGGACTGGCATTTAATTAGTTAACCCTCTATTTGGACCCTTGTTTCAATCATTATTACAACATACCTCAAATTATACAGTATATTATTTAAGATATGGAAAGATATTTCATAGCAGCTAGCATATGTAGCTATATTCACAAATGCCTTTTCGGGGTAGCCTGCATGTATGTATGAACTATCGTCATGTTGTCGACTACTGACGTCATATCATTGCATTTGCCATCTTATGTGTTTACAAAAATGCCTCAACCAGGCTCCTCTGTCAGTCAGTGGGTCAAACTTGATTAAATCTGATTAAATCTACGTCATAGTGGCTAAATTACTGTAAATGGCTTGACCATGAACAGGTCATCTGGAAATCTGTCAGAGCAGGTAAAACATGAGCTTGCATGTTTGCCTGGTTCCTATAGGCAACTAGTTAACACAATGCTGCTCAAATTCAGTGATGTCAGCTTTCATTGTGTGTGTTCTCGGTCCTCGTGTGTCTGGTGCTATTTTTAGAACCATCAATGACTTTAAGGCCTTTGAAAGGAAAATGTCTGAACTATTCATACCTGCTGCAATACATGCACAAGGAATAATATTCAGTTTCATCTTTAGGTGACAGGTGAACTTAATAAACTGAAGTACAAGGCCGGGTCCCATGAACCTGGATCCAGACATGGAGGAGGTTTGTGGATTTTTTTTAGTTGTTGTTGGAAGAGGAAAAAACATCTGCAGATATCTGTTATTGTGCCTAATAAATCTGTGTCTGATGAAAGATGGGTTTCATAAAGGCTCCAGGTATTGCACATTAAAGTCTCATTTGCTGTTCCACTTTTAACTGTTGCCTTGTCTCAACCCCAGGAGGAGGTGACCCCGCTAAAGTGGAGGGCCTGCAGGAGGAGCTGAAAGTGGCACGTCTGCAGATCAATGAACTGAGTGGCAAAGTAATGCAGCTCCAGTACGAGAACCGAGTGCTGCTCTCCAACATGCAGCGCTACGACCTCGCCTCTCACCTGGGCATTCGCGGCAGCCCAAGGGACAGCGATGCAGACAGTGACGGAGGACGAGACGATGACACTCCTTCAGCCTCAGCCTCCTCGCCTCGCCTCCTACCGCCTCATCGCAAGCGTGAGGGCCCCATTGGAGGGGAGAGCGACTCAGACGAAGTGAGGAACATCCGCTGCCTCACCCCGACGCGTTCCCATTACTCACCTGTGGACAGTCGTTTTTTATCCAGAAGCCTGAAGGACCGACAACAGATGATAGACATCCGCATCGAGGCGGAAAGGCTGGGTCGGACCATCGACAGGCTCATCGCTGACACCAGCACTATCATCGCCGAGGCCCGTGTGTATGTCACCAACGGGGAGCTGTATGCAAGGCTGGATGAAGATGAGGAAGGTGGCAGGTAATAAAAACATGAAAGTGATAAGGAATCTCAATATTGCTTAAATTAACCCATTTTATAATGACATTACTCTGATATTTAAAGTCCAAATACCTCATTTTCAAAGGATCAGAGAGCATGAGCTGTTGTATCGTATCAACGCTCAGATGAAGGCTTTCAGGAAGGAGCTGCAGGGCTTCATAGACCGACTGGACGTCCCCCGGCAGGAGGATAAACAGGCAGAGGAGCCACTGTCTGTAAGCAAATGCAAACCACTAAATAGGAATGAATTTAATGACTGTCATTTTCTTGTTCTCTAACATGCACCTTTCTTCTTGCTTGTCAATCTTCCCTACACTTCCCCCATTTCGTCATTCATCCATCAAGATGTTCCAGCCCATTATTTTGCTGATCCTCATTCTTGTTCTTTTTTCTTCACTTTCTTATGCCACCATTTTTAAATTGGTATTCCTTTTCACCTTGTTCTTTGTTCTGTAAAGCGCTCACTCAGTACCACATTATGTACATTTTCATTTTTTTTATTTTTGTTTCTTGTTCATTCATTTCAATTCTTTTACGTTGAACATGTCACAAAAGGTCACTGAAGGTACAGGACATTATCATTTTCCATGTATGATCCAAACCACACATCTACTCAGATGCATTCAACATTACTGGAGGCTAAACATCTTGCAGCGACGGTGGAGTCTTAGGTGAGTGTGTCATTACATTTTATTGACTTTGACGATTAGTTTGCACCATTTTCCCTCGATTGGGGACATTTGCAATTCAAGCATTGTGACTTCTAACTGAACTGTGGTCTTATGAGCAGAAATAACTAGAAACTCCTGTGTGGGTGTGCAGGGCCTTTAATTCGATTTTATGATGTTTGGAGAACTTTGTTGTTGCAACTGTAGTAGTCAAGAAAATATTTAATGCTGTTTACAGGCAAACTGTGTTCTCCAATGTGTAAAGATATCCCTGTTTTATCTTAATAGCTTACTGTCTGGTTTGTGTGCAATATTTTGTTCAGTTTATGTCGTTTTAATGGGTTTGGAAAGCCAAAAGATCAAAAGATGTTCTTTACACACAACACTGACTTAATCCGTTCGATAGCAGCTTTCAAGATGTATGGGCAGTTGGCCTACATTAAATACTTCAGTCAATGTTAGGACAATGGGGCACCCTGAGCCTATACACACCAAAAATGCAGATTTACAGTAACAACATTGGCTTAAAGTTACTCACACACCATCATCTGCGATTGAAAAAAAATACACCTCTTTTCTGCCAAGTTCCTCTTAGGCAACTCTGCTGCCTGAGTCATAACTTCTGTCAACATAATCAAATGTGCACGAGTAATCTGATAGTAGCATTGATATTTCATCCATATTCTGACTTTGCTTATGTGACATTAGAGCTGTGTAAAAGTGCCCTTGGTGGGTCTGTAAAAAACAGCCAAAAATGTGCTGATGGGGGGAGGGGGGGAAAGGGGGGGGGTCTGTTTAAAACTAGCAGACCTGACCACCAAGACGGGCACAGAACCGATCCACTTCTTTCATCCCACCGGTGGGATGTTTTACGTCACACATTAGGGCCAGCTGTGGAGAGAGAGAGAGAGAGAGAGAGAGAGAGGAAAATAGAGAGAAAGGAGGATTTTCTTCTCGGTGATGAATGCATCATTTCAGCTGGAGCCACTCTTCGGTTCTTTTTATAACGTAGACTCCTACATTCCTGTCCAGAGTTCACTTTAGTTGCTTCTTTGGCTAAAATGTAGCTCTAGTGGCTGCTGTTAAAGGATATATGATCTAATGCAGCGTCCATAGGACATCAGAGGAAGAGGTAAGGGTCTACTCTACTACCTTACTTTAATGTTACTCTGCCTACTTAGCCTACACAGAGACAATATCAAAACTAAAACATAGTGACTAATGTCTTTAATCAAGATGATTAAAATCCCACCCCTCGTTTTCCCTCTCTCCCACGCTAAGAAAGCAAATAGACATTGCAGAAGAGTTGGAGTAACGTAGCCTACTCCTGCTGCCTGATGAGAGAAGGTACGTAAACTAAATGGCATTTTAATAGACACAACAAGACACCTACCGCATATTTTAAAAGTGTAACTGGCATTAAGGGAAACATTACTACTCGCAAGTTTGAGTAAAGCATCGTTTTGCCTCTTAAATCACTGACGCGGCGTAAATGTTTGTTGCCATGGATACTGCGCAAAGTTGGTAGGTACAGCCTGAATACTGCGACGTAATTAGAGCAGACGGGTGTTGATTAACGGATGTTTGCCTACTCCTGCCAGACGCCGTTCAAGCTCTCTGGCCTCGGGAAAACAAACTCTTGGTTACAGGGGGGGTAAAAATACTCCCCCATGCTCTTACATCAATGAGCTCCTGGATATTTTTGGTAGAGTCTCCCATTCGCGTCGGAGCGGGTTACTGGGTGTCTGTTTTTGCCAGCTCTGGATTGTCGCCTACAACGAGCCAGTGCAAAGAGAGAGAGAGAAGACACACAGCGTCCTGAGATTATGATACAAACATGTGAAGGAAAAACAGTGCAGTGGAGAGGTTTTTGGAGCACAAAGGGGGTGCTGTCAGGACTGTGAATGACCTTGTCTCTGTGAGGATATGGAGGGGACAAAAGCGTCCAGTCCCGACGCCTTTGAAGCGGTGGCTGCTTTGTGGCCGACAGTGGACTTGGCCGGGTTTGGATAATTGACGCATTCAGAGCCCTACAAAGTGTGCAGAACTGTATCAAAGTTTTTTCAGCGTAGCCTATGCTTTAAATGGAGACTTTCAAAGTAGTTTGGTAACCAGCCTACTTTTCATTTTTCTGTCTCAAGTTGTGTTTTGTTTGTTTTATTTTAATGCGTTGGAGGAATGTGGAGTACGTTTATGAACGGCTCGGGGCTGCATGGCGGGGGCAGCAGCAGTAGTAGTGGTGGTGGTGGTGGTGGTGGTGGTGGTGGTGGTGGTGGGGGCTACGTCCCGTCTCAGGGATGGGAGTTCGTGCCGTGCACCAGGATGGATAGGACAGATAGAGGCAGCAGGGGCAAAAGCCGCAACCCCCTGAGGAGAATCTCCTCTCCGCCCACCGTCTTCAGTCAGGTCTTGGAGCCCCAGTTCACCGCCGCTTCACCGGGCGTCGGAGGAGAAGGTGGAGCGGGGGGGTCACAGCTCGAGTTTCTAACAGGACAAATGTGGCCTGGTGCTGAACCCACGCAACAGCAACAAACACAACACACAACACGGCTTAAAAAGAAACTGGAGGATTTGAAAAAGCGGCATGTGCAAGACAAGGAAGAATGGATGCGGGAGAAGGAGTCATTGTTGAGAGAAGTAGCTGACATACAAGTAATTGTAAATACATAGAGTTAAGGTTAATTGTGTGCGTGTGTGTGTGCGTGTGCGTGTGCGTGTGTGTGTGTGTGTGTGTGTGTGTGTGTGTGTGTGTGTGTGTGTGTGTGTGTGTGTGTGTGTGTGTGTTTGTGTGTCTGATGCCCCAAAATATGCACTTACAGGTGTTATTGTCAGTAATTTGGTTGAATTTTCTGGTGTCAACCTAGGGCTCAATACAAAAAAAGTGATATAACTATAAAGCAATTTAAACATGAGTTTGTTATCAAGTGTCAATTTCCTACTTACTTGAAAAACCTCACATAGGCTACATATTGAATGTGTTACACTGTTATCTGCCAGACTATAGGGAATACATATTTGGTTGACAAGATTCCTGCGGGCTGTGCTCCTTTGCAGGGAGGGGAGAACAGGAGAATTCTGCTGGACCTGAAGACGGTTTTGGATGAGGTGCAGGCGGAGGTGAAGAGAGAGGAGGAGAAGAGGAGCGATCTGCAGCTACAGTACACCAGAGACAGATGTGCCTGGGAGCTGGAGAAGGCTGAGCTCAAATGCAGGATTGCACAGGTAACAGAGAAATGATGATGATGATTAGATGTGGGCTTGTGTGTGCAGCCAGGTATTTGTATCTTACACAGAGAAACACAACAGTAGTAGAAAGGTTTCATGCTGTCCTTAAAGGAAACTACTTTGTCATTTCTATCTCATGTTCAATTTTTCATGTCTTTGCATGTCCGGCCTCAGGTTTGGTGTAAATTAGGCTTGTCACTTTAACCACCCACAGGGCATAGTGATAAGTCACCCTGGCATTCACCCAAGCTAAGCCTCAGCTTAGAGAAAAGATTTGCACTGAGGAGACGAATGTAGTTATCCCCGCTCAGCCAGACACAGACACCCACCTTGGCTTAAACAGCAAACTCTAAGTACATGCAATATTAACCTACTGTTTACTTGGACAGTTCAGTTTGTTGAAATTGGCAGAAGTACTAAAGAGTTAAGCTTGCACATCAGTGTCATGCTGGGTCAGGCATTGCACGGATCACTTGAAAGATCTTGCATGGATGTTCTTTAAAGCAATTTATCATTTTTTTACTGCTACATTCAGAAGATAGATTTATTTGGTTAAACAGAAAACCTAAGCAGAATTGCTTTTGGAACTGTAACTTTAGCTCAGAGTTTCATATCTCAGATTTTCTTTATTTTTCTTATGATGTTGTGACGCCACCATCTCAGCCAGTTGAGTCTCATATGATTCCTATCAAAGACTTAAAACTGATTAGTCACGCTTTAAACCATCACACAGCTTTCTTTTGTTTGGGCTCTGGAGCTACAAGACAAAAACAAATGGTATTTTTAAGTAGAGCAAAGAAGCCCAGGAATTCCATTATGTGGTGCTGCAAATTAACAAGGTGGTGCTGTGACACTGCAGAGCTGCCGGAAAAGACCGCCGATGACACCATGACATGGGAATGCAACATAGTAACACGCTTTTACCACATCACACACACGGATAGTTTAACATGTGAGTAGATGGCAAAGCTCTTCTCCAGGTCCTGCTGGCTCTGTGCCTTCTCATAGTGTGGATGACTGAGCATGATAAAAACAGACATTTACTGTCCTGTTTTGTGTTTGTGAGGCCAAGTGTGGCAGTTGAAGAGGCTTATACTACTGCTGGAGATTATACCATGATGTGCACACACACACACACACACACACACACACACACACACACACACACACACACACACACACACACACACACACACACACACACACACACACACACACACACACACACACACACACACACACACACACACACTGATGTTTATGTCAAGATGCTCCTATGAGGCTTTTGTCTTAGTATCTGTTGAGTCTGAGACGGTTTCCACTCATCTGAATCAGACATATCTGATTGATTTCGGAGAGGACAAATGTCTCTATATATATATTTTTTTTATAACAGTTTCAAAGTCATGTGGAACACTATAAATGTACATCATTTTAAACAGAACATGCACACACTCACAGTCAGACATTTCTAAATCAATCACAAAGACTAACCGACCAAAGGGAATGTGAGTTGGATTTAAGCCATGCTAGGCGGGGTTAGCTACGCTCTAAGAGTTGTTTTGTCCTGATACCACATCCTGCCACATTTGATAGTTTCGGGACATGTTTACTGAGTGCTAATCTGGGCTTTATCATCAGGTTCAAAATAAGTTAAGTACATTTTCTAGAATGTTTTGCGGCTAAGTTATGAAATAACAAATTATCTCCAACATGCACAACATGTTTTGACAAGACGTTCTCAAATAGGATTTGGGTAGATGTGTTACAGGTCTATAAAGACATTTAGGTTAAACACAGATGCATTGGATATTTGGCTGATATCTTAGACAAGGTTGTTAAAATCATAACTTTTACATTCCAGTCCAGTTCTAGTTCTTTATATAATCACTGTATCTAGTTTGCTCCTTAAACTTACATTAACAAATCAGATTAAAGCAACAATTCAACCAGCTGGACCACTGAAACGATAGACAAGCATACTCATAGATCAATGCAGAAAGGCCAGTGGAGCAAAGTGGATGTAACCTAATTTCATTTCAAAGTTAAATGTGAACAATTTCAGCATGGGTGAGAAGCTCCTCTGTTATTTTCCACCTGTAGGTTACAATGTACCAATGCAGAGGAGATGCCAGTTATAGCTCAGACAGAGCACAGGGTGTAAAAGAGGTATTGTGAGGGCAGTCTGAAGTCTGACACTGAACACAGATGAAGTAGTATGTGTTGTGTGTCTAATAGCTATTTGATGTAATCACGTAAGTCAGTTATAGTCAATAGGGGGGCTCAGCTGAACTACTTCTTGCAGTTTTCTGGGACATACTTGTTAATATTCCACTGCTCGCTCTGTGTGTTCATTATTGCACTTTGTAGGAAGACTGAAAGTAGCAGCACCATTTGAAGGCCAGAAAGAATACTGTAGAGGATTACCGGAGCAGCCAAGCGTATTATACAAACCTGAAGTCTGGGAGTGGAATAAGTGGAGGGTATTTAAGGACCTGGGTCAAGTTAATTGGAATTTTGAGGTAATTTTAAGTAAAGCACAAAGTGAAATAGCATTGAAGGTGAAGATGGCATTCTATGTTCTCAACCAAGAGGATCAACATGTTCACTGACTCGATTGCTACATAATTGCTTTAAAGATTAAGTTTCATGCATATTTTACGTTTACATGTGTGTCTAATGTTTAGCTAATTAACTTCCCTTTGGTAGATATTTGACAGGGCTAAACTGTTTGTAGCTTCAAACCGCAGGTTCTCCACCAATCATTATATTGTCATACACTTTCTATACCAGAGATTATGGGTTATAATCACTAGTGAGATAAATTAGCATCATATCAGTTGTAGCCTATCAACAATTGCATGCTTGTTCTATTCCTAAGATTTTAATTACACAGCTCTCTTCACAGTGAGCTATGGCTGTGAATGTAACTACTGTATGTTGTTTCCACATCCTTTTTGGGCACTCCTACCACCAAATACCAAGCAGGCATCATGAGGTCCCAGGAAGAGGTCTAAGGCCGGATATTTCTAGGCATATTTCTCCGCATGCCACTGATTTATGAAAGCTTCTGGCAGCTAGGAGACATCTCACTCTGCCTGAGCAGCCAACTCCCCTCCCCCTTTACCTCGTATCCCCACCTCCCCAAGGAATGTGACATTGTACAAGGCTCTGTGTCCGCTATTTATAGTGGGTCACTGTGGTAACACCGTTACCTATATACAGTGACAGGCAGGGTGTCAAGGATGGCAGAATATCACTACTTGAGACTGATCTGAAATTTTGTGTGTGTATGCATACACAAGTGTTTAATCCCTGTGCTAGCTTAAACAGTGTTGACCAATGTTCCTGTTTGCATGTAAAGTTCCTCCAGAACTTTCCTTATAGAATAAACTTTTCATCTACTGTCTCACAGAAAAAGATTTCCAGTCCTTTATTTTGACACTTTTTCATGCACTCTCACTGCTTGTTTACATTTGGATGTTTAAATAGACTGTGGACAGCACCCATCATCATCTGTCTGTAATTGCGGAGAACTCTGAGAAGAGCCACAGGCAGACAAAAAGAGTCAACTTTTTTTTTTTTTCTTCTTCCAAACCATCACTTCATGACCCCAGGCCACAAGCAGAAATAGACCCGTGACCGGGGCTCGTAAGAAGGCTTTGGTTGCTGCCTGTGACTGAACACTGAAATAACACACTCAGGCATGCTCATATGCATTCTGTCCCTCTTACTAACACACATACATACACCAGACAGAAACACACACACACTCTCTCTGAAGTACAAATATATATGCTCATGCACAGGCATTGTCTTGGGCTCTTTTCAGTTCCAAAGCCAAAACATGTTCTCCTTAATAGCAAAAGAAGGAAATACATACACACATATTAGCCCCAGAATGTACAGACTATGTTCCAAAAATAAACCCTAAATTATTCTTAAAAAAGAAAGCCTCCAAATCATAGAATAACATGTAGGATATTTCAGATTGACTTTGGGTTATCTAATCTGTGAAGTACAAATCAGACAGAGGCATTGAACCTCGGACTGGCTTTTTCAGAAGTGGGGCATCATTTTCAAATGTTATTGAATTATTCTCAATTTAAGCACATCATGTTTTGACTAGAAGTTCTTGGCCCCAACACACCAAAATTCCATGGGTATTTCCCAGGGTTTTTTTTCATGTGAAAAGGGCATTGAGTTGGGGCACTCAGTAATTCTCATTAGAACTGTCCAGAATGTCCAATAAAAGCTGATGAAGTTGGCTCTTTCCAAAGTCAGTGTTGAAAAGAATCAGAGGTTCTGTGTTATTTGTGCTGAGAGATACCCTTTGTAACTCTTACACCAGTGTATCATTTGACTACAGCTGCATGCGTCCTCTGCAGACCCATTCTTCTGTGTGTGAATCTGCCATATCCTGTTCTGTATCCTGTGTTAATGAGGTACAATAGGAAACATCATGAACCCTGATCCCATGAATCCCATGAATGATCTTAACAGGATATTTTCATCTTTCAACCTACTATGTTTTCTCCCTCTTCCGTCCATATAAACCCACTCACACTTGTCCCCACGGTGCCTTATTCTCCCACTTCCTCCTCCTTTTCTTCCTGCCACTCCTTCATTCTCTCAATTCCACGTTAAACAATTTCTCCCACTCCAGATTTGCTTGTCATGTCATCTGGCTCTCCAACTGCAATTTATCCAATTTATCACTGCTGACTGCTTTTTTCACTTTCTGTCCCACTCCTTCCCATCCAATCCTCCTCTATGCTCTCTCCACTCCCTGTCTGTTTCTCTCTCTTCAGTTGGAGGCTAGAGAGGGTGCAGGTTTGGTCATTGGAGGGGTCCGTCCAGCAGCAGGTCCTGGCTCTGTGGCGTCTCAGAGCGCTCGAGAACAGCACAGTGAGACCTCAACGTCCCGCCTGGAGAGGGAAGAGCAGAGGCGTCTCCTGGCGGACACACACTCGACCGCCATGGACCTGCGCTGTCGTCTGGAGCACAATGAAAGGGACTGGTCCAGAGAGAAAGCAGAGCTGCTGGAGAGGTTCAACGTGGAGAGGAGGGAGTGGGAGAGCCAGCTGAAGGATATGCAGGGGAAAATTGAGGAGGTGAGTGTTCTAAATGTGTGTATCTTAATGAGAAAATTACCCAATTTGAAAGGTTTAGTAACTTGTTTTTTTAAGACTGAATTTAGATAAACTAAAGAAGAAACTACACACAAACCCTCAAAAGGTATTTTTCTGACAAATCTCTATAGTTTTGTCTATGATATAAGAAGTGGTTCTGCGGTGATGAGAGATATTTAAAGAAATGTACATCCCCCAATAAATGGCCGAAAACTAATTTCACAAAATTTTAAAATGACCCTTAATTATGTTTTTTTTTGTTTTTTTTAACTTGTAAAGCTCCTCTAAAGAATAGTTCAAATATAAAGAATCAGATTGACATTATTAATGATGGCTCTTTATGAGCTTTAAAAGCAAACAACAGCATCAGCATGAAGATTGACTTTCTCTATATTGTAGTTTTAAAGGAAAGAAACTGCTGCCGTGGGGTAGGTGTCAGATGATTTACAGCGTGCTGAAGAAGTAGCCTTTTGCTGACAGTCAACAAACAGAAAAATGAACCACTTTGTCCACAGGAGGCAATAAAATTGACAAAGGCAAAGTTTCTCCCAGGATCCCCCCCCCCTCCCACACACTTTATCATGAACCCAAAAATCAATCAATTAAAAGTTGTGACTTTTTCAGCTAGATGGGTTTGAGTGTTGGAGTTCCGAGAGATTGTGGATAAGAAAGTATTACAATAAGACAGAGAAGGACGTAATTCAGAGCAAAGATATAGACTCTGGGGACAGGAACACAGTAAAGAATACAATATTTTATCAATAGCATAGGACATGAGTGTTTTTAATGAAACAGTTGGACAGAGTGTTAAGGCTGGGGAACAATTTGCTAAGACAAGAACACATGGCCCCTTGAGACCAGAAAAAAAAAAGAAGAAAACAGTGGAAGAATAAAGCAGGCTGAAAGTCAGCACTCCCATTTAGACATTGCGTGATGGGTGGGGAGACCAGTCAACATGTAATGATTCCTATTTTAGGAACGCGTGTTCAGAGGCCAGAGGTTCACTCATTTTATTTGAAAGAATTATTTGAGTGTTTTCAGTCTTCTGTGGTTTTAATATTGTTAAAAGATGCTGTCTTTCTGAAATCTCATTATTCCATGTAAGATAGTGCAGGAGTGTAAATGCAGTTTATTATTGTAATTATAATCATATAATTAGCCCAGACATGTTGTTGGTTAAATACGATCTCATTTGGAGAATCCAGTGAAAGATGAGTCATTCAGTCATTGAGTCACAAAAGTCTAGACTATAGGCACATGGTTTGTACCTCCTTACATCCAATACTGTGACTCAAGTGTACCATTTGGATGGCTCTAATGGAATATTAAAGGTTCAATAAGTGCCAGTATTTTAGCAGCAACTTATCTGCACATGCTTAAACCTGCTAAATGGCAGGTACTTAAACAGACAGATTCTGGTACATAGGACATCAAACTATTTAATTCACACAGAAATTTCAGGCTTGGCTTTTGCAGATTCCTTTTTTGTCAGAACATTTGATTCAGTAATTTCTGCTGGGATGCAAAAGGATGTTCATTAAATGTAAAAAATGCTTCTGTCCTACCTTTTATGTAATAGCACCTTCAATTCTTGCAGATCTAATGTTGGTATTTTGTAAGAAAACATTGAAAGACTAAAGCAGCAAAAATATTGATGAATGATGGCACATTAATAATTTTTTCCCTTTTCTAGCTGTACTGTGAAGTGAGGGCAAAGCGAGAAGGGACTGGACTAATCAGCGGGAGGCAAGATCACGATGATGTTTTACACCGACTCAGCATACGCTCAACCAGCACAGGCTCCAGTCTACTCAGTGACAACTCGCGCTCGGAGCTGCTTAGCAGCAGCAGTCAGTCAGAAAGAATGGGACATTCATCTTTAACTGGTTTAGGTAACAACAGAAACATCCATGGCAGTGGTTGTGCTGGCACAGGGAGTCACGACCCAACCTGCTTCCAGGCAGACCGCCTCTGTGAATTTAACACTGGTGGTCAGTTCACTCCGAGTGGCATGTCACATCCTGAGCTGCCTGATTTGAGATCCAGAGGCACTTGGCAAAAGGACCCAGTCAGTGAAAGCAAGGACGCTGTGGATACAACTGAGCTGGAAGCTATTTTTAATGATTCACCTGGATGTGGAGTGCCAAAGAAAAATGTGTCTAAAGAAGCTGAAGACAAAGTTCATGCAAGTCCTGAAGACAGTACACTGTGGACAGAGCAGAGTTATGGCAGCGACAAGAAGAAGAATACCACAGCTCTCAATGCTGTGAGTATTTCATACTTTTTTGTATTTGATAAAATTCTTTATATACAGCCCACATATATTGTTGGTGGAAAGAATGTTGTCTTTGCTGATCGTCAGTGCTCCTGTAATATTTCCTGTGTACCCGTATTTTTCATTCTACTGTGTCTTAGAGTAGATAATCCTCTTTATTTGCCTCACTTTTATTTTGAAAGAACTTCAGCAATACACAGAGTCCAACTCGTCTTATTTTGTCTGTTTCTTCTTCTGTGCGTCTCAGGCTCTGAAGGAGATAGCCCGTGTGAGCGAGGAGCTTTGTAGCTACCAGGATGAGATCAGAAAGAAGAGCGGGGATAAGAGGTACATAAATCCCTTAGCTGTGTTCACCTTCTGGCGCCAAAATGGGACAGTGATAATCACTCCATCTGTTTCCAAGCACTTACTGTGTATGATACTCTTAGCCATGTTTGTTAATGCTGTGAGTCAATAAGAAATCCTTTTTTTTTCTGTTAAAAAACAAACTCAAATATTGAATTATTTTTACATGTTCATTATACATTGACTGATTAAAGTAAATCGAGTTAAAGTGTTTTATTTTTAAAATATTTCAGGAATCGGTCTGGGTCCCTGTGCCTACCTGAGGAGAGAGAGAAGCAGTTTGGTTGTGATAATGCCAGTCTGCAAATAGATGAAGCTCCCTGTGACTTCAGCCAGATTTATGACGACCTTCGAGCATTGGAAAGGGAAAATTGGATCGCCTTGACACCAGATAACACCTGCCAGGCCAATGGAGGGTCGAGCAAATCGTGGAGAGAGACTACCCCTGATCCAGACAGCTACAGAGAAATACAGACAAGCACCGGAGAACTCTCTGATATTGATAATGCAGCACCACCCATCCCTCCCCGCGTCTCCTCCAGGAATCTGAGTACCCCCATCCACTTTGACACAGAACTACACATCCCAGAATCCCCAGTGACAACAGTGAAAAGGTGCCACAGCCCCTGTGTTCTAGTGGACAGAAAGTGTCACAGCCCGTCTATTGTGAGGAAGTTTGAGGCAATGCTGCAGGAAAATGAAGGAAAGGTTTTAATAGACGGCGTGGTGGCATCCTGCTCTGTACCTGTTAATTCTAACTGTAACATGGGCTGCTGCCACAACCGCTGGTCCTGTGATGCAAGCAAGTTCACCAGTAGCAAATTGTCTGCAAATGGGACTGTGCAGAAAAGCTTCTCTGAAGTCAGCATATTGGCTGCAGGGAAACGCTCAGATTACAGCCCTGGTGTCGGGAACTTAAAAGAGCTACAAACTCCTCTGATTGTTAAAGATTTACCTGTAGATCTGCTCTTATCCTCTCTTGAAATATCCCCTGCCTGCCTCAACCAGCATGTCTCCAAAAGAAACATAATGCTGGAACAAAAAACTGCTGAGTTTAACAGAACTTTGTTTCAGGCAGAGATGGGTCGTGCCGCAGAGGAACAAGACGGCTTCACAGTAACAGATGTCTGCTCTGCGGGATGCACACCAGTCTTTTCAGCAACTAGTGCGTCATGTGAGGCGTTACCTCCCAGGGATACAACATTTCAGCAAAAGTCTAATGATGTAGCTACAAGCGTCATCAGTTTGCATCCTGAAGCCAAATTAGACTCCAAGATCGAGACTCCAGAAGTTCAACTCAGACAAAAGAAGTGTAGTCTTGGGAGTCAAGTGGTCAAAGTGAAGCAAGATATCCCCATTGACTTTTCATCTCAACAGCTACAGCTAGGACTCAGGGAGGCTGTCACAATAACCCCTGAGAGTCCTCCTCTCCATTCTGAAGTCAAGCACAAAGTTCAAACTGCAAGCAGTCCTTCCAGGAAAATACAACAGAGAGCCACAGAGGCTCTCTTTTCAGAGCCTGTCTTGCCTGCAGACACCCAGCCAGGTCAGGATGTGGATGGTTCCAGCTCTAAGAAAGAGAATCCCTGTGGAGCAAAGCCTCGTGCAGCCAGAGTCTCGCTCCAGCAATCTGCTGAGAACAAACAAAGACAGATGACAGAGCCAGGGCACCAGGCACAGCCAAAGCATGTGTCTGCTCCTGTTTACCAGTCTGACTCCTCCAGACCCGGGGCTCGATTGATGAATGACCATCCCTGGAAGCCCCTCACTCTGGCTGCGTACCCACGGCCAGAGGGATCCAGGTCCAACTACGGAGCAGTGGAAAGGATTCTGAAGAATTATGAGAGTGCAGCCAAGGAAAAACAAAACCAGAGCCAGCAGGACCTGAAGTCTTCAAGTCCTAACGTCAGTGTCAGGCAGAAGGAGAAAGTCACAGAACTGGACATGCTGGACATGGACCCTCTGCCCTTACTGGCCACCCTGAGACATACACATACTTCACACACCTCACAGACGCACACCACACATGCACAGCTCAGCAGCCACACTACCATTGGTGTGAAAGAGATACATCTAACTGTCCAGGTGGGTAGAGTCTGATGTCACTGTATTCACATTTCCATACATCAGCACCTGCCTTATCACAGATGATAACAGTTAAAAGCAATCTGTTGGTAAGCTGTCTATATTTTGTTTTGAATAAAATGAATAAGTTAACTGTATTTTAGGGCGATTACTCCAGTGGACATACTGATTTTCTTGCTGTTAATTCCATTTTGAAACACTAAGCGATTGCCCTTGAGTGAGGACAGCTCTAGTGGGAATGTTGTTTATTTCTGGTATGTGCTAAGAGACAGTAGCGGGCCAGAGCCTCCATTATAATCTGGGCATCTGGGCCATTCCACTGCTTAAAGGCTCCTAAGAAAGCGAAGTGGTGGTGTGGCATATCAAGTTTAAACTTGGCAGTAGGTCTAACACCCTCATCATAATATCTTTCATCTTCGCGTCCTTCCATGGAGTGTATGTCTTTTTTTTTATTGCAATTACAGAAGTATCTGCAAGGATCCAGCTGACTTATTGCCCTTGGCAGACCATGGAAATTAGAAATCTGGAGTGATTACGCTGCTTTAAAGTCATGCAAATGTTAAAGAAATTGTGGAAGCAATTATCAAACCAATTTTATTTGACCTAAAAAAAAAGAGAACAATCAAAGCACCACTTTAATTTCTGCTCAACCAGAGAGAACTGTCCGAAATAAAGTCCTGGACATTCTAAAGTTTTAGCCAAAGGGTAACACAACTGCAGAATATTTAAAGTATTTAAGTCCAGATGCTTTTCCCCCCCTGATCAAATGGAATGGGATCTACTTGTGTGACCTTTCCACATGAGCATCCTGAATTTATTAGCATTCCTGTTGTCTCCCCTAGGGTCAAGAAGACTTCAGATGGAACACGTGACAAAATGTAAAGTATCTGAGTGTGTGACTTTGAATGTTGATAGAACGGTGTGATTATCCTAAACGTTAATCCATTTGTTTCTCCACAGGAGGACAAAGAACCTTCAGTATCCTCTAACTCCATTCAGAAGAACTTCTCAAGGCCGGCCCGTCCTGCCAACAGACGTCTCCCCTCCCGATGGGCCAACTGCTCGCCCACCTCCTCTGGCTCCTCTTCTCCCTCTACCATCCCTGTTGTGCCTCCATCCTTCCCCATACACAAACACACTTCTTCATTTGCCTACTCAAACTCCTTTCACATAGAGGCCGTCATTATCTGACCTCCATCTAACTGTGGGACTGTACCGACAGGAGCCTTCAGTGATAACCTCTGAACATTTTCTTATCATAATTGATGTACATATCAAGCCCAGACTGCTCCTCTGCTCCTCCTACAGACTCAGAAAAGCTTTAGTTTTGAGTAAGCACTCATCTACAGAATGTATGTGGCATTTGGTGTACCCAAAACGACCATGGAAGGCAAGAAAAGGACTTGAAGTAGCTTCACTTTGCAGCAGTGTGCTCTGATTAACCTGCCAGGCTTTATGCAGCCTCTTTTCCAAGAACGATCAGATCCAATGCTTCATCTATTCATGGCAACCATCTAAATGGAAATCCTTTGCTCAGGTCTGGGTTCTAGCTCTGGTGTAGCCTTGCAGATCCACCAACAAGCTGATCTCCTCAACAGTACTCCCTCTGTTTTCTAAATTAGCTCACATTGAAACAGTCTAAAAATCAGATGATGTATTGAATATGTACTGTATTTTGTATTCTATGTGCAACATGTTTTGTGTTTGTTTTTTTCTTCACAAAATATGATGTAACATCCACAATATGCAGCATCATGTTGGACCCTGAGATGAAGTGACTCTCAGTGTGCTGGACAAAGCAGTGTTGGTTTTCTGCCTTCTTGAATATTACCGTCAGTACATGCCTGGACTGTACCTTAACTGTGACTAATACATTTTGATTTACATTCTTCATGATTGCATTAACAAAACAATGTGAATGTGAGTTCCTTTTTTTATAAATTTGTACCAAAGGCTGGTTTCTTTATATGCATTTTCTTGATTTGAAAATTAAATGCATTGTTTGTAATGGCAAAGTCTTTGCTGTTCATCCATTGCTGATGTTTTCCAATCAAAATGTGTGTTAACCATCTTTCATGAGACTTTGCTTTTTGCATACTATAACTAATGTTGCTTATATGACACATATGAGAAAGCCTTTTTCTACCTTTACTAATACAGAATGGTCACATATCAGGACATTACTCAGCTGAGTAGTTCAGTGTTTTGGGTCAAAGTGTTTAATCATATCATCCAGAAGATAATGCCTTTGCTGTTCTTTGTGTAATAAACATAAGAACTAGAATATCTGTATTTTCTTTTTTTTATTTTAGCACCAAAGTACAAGTTTGTGTATTGTTTTTTTCTTATTGTTCAGCTTCAACTGACCTACTGGTATATGGAATAGACACACACAAATATTGTTTCTGGACAAATTATGAAGTGTGACTAAAAGCCCTAGTGAAACATCTTCCAAAATGATCAGCTGCCCATTTGACAAACCTGTTTGTCTTACTTCTTCTGCCTATTATTGTTTCTTTTCAATACTTTACAGAATAAGCGTTAAATTGAATTTGCCTCATGCATGTGCAGCCTTCCCCAATCCTTTGAGTGTGCAGGAACAATACGTTAATGCGTTCGGATAAACGGTCAAATGTTGCACAGGAATATTTTTGTGACTGCATAGGATGAAGCACCCCGACCACATTGCTTTTTCACTGCTTCAATGTTACTGACTCTCTTCTTTGGTGACACTCGGATCTCGTCCTCTTAGGGTTGATTGCAGAGCTTAATGACAACAGGCGAAACCGCTATTACTCAGATGATGTGGGTGTGTCACTCTGCTTCTCTCTGATATGTATACAGTATAAACACACACACACAAACACACACACTGTCCATTTATAGTTGTATGTAGTGACAGTGTGTATATTTCTTTATTAATATTAATGCATTTTCATTTTTGTAAGATATGTAATCAGCAGCATCTTTGTAACCTTTACTTTTATAGTATTTTCAGCACAGCCTGGTAGATGATCAGTTTGCATCTTTCTACACACATACACACTTATGCCCATTCACTTAACATAAACATTCACACACAGGCGTACACACCCGTGCCCCTGAACCCCTCACCCTGAAACCTGGCACCTTGGGGTGACTGAAATAGTAGATGCAACAATATTATGGTGCCAGAAATCCTAGCTCAGCAGCACTGATATAAATATAGATATAAATATTGTCATCCCTTCCTGATGCTCAGCCCAGCACTCCTCTGGCAGTCTCAGTCTCTTTTACTGTTTAGAGACTGCATAGACTCCCAGTTACTGGCCTTTTCTCAAGTTTGGAGGTTTCCAGATGCTCAAACCATTATATTAGTACAAGATGTTTTGGTTCCAGTACTGCTTAACGCAACTATACAATTGAAAGAATCTACGGAACAATTTGTATTTCATCATGAAACCAGAATAACCACAGTTTATTTGGGCTGTCTTTATCAAATAAAGACAGAAGCTTCTTTAAATAGCTCAAGGTGCCATATTAAGACATTTGTTTAAGTGTTTAACCATGTAACATTTTTATGCTGGCTGCATTATGTTGATTATATAATGTCTGGATTTGATCTTTGTCAGTATCAGGAGAACAACATGAAACAACCTTGAAAGGCAGGATACAGTCCCCATCATGACATCTTCATGGATTACAAATTGGTAGTGAGGCCAACAGCAGGATAAGCAACCCCTCTAATAAAGTCTCGACACTGTTGGTGGTGGCTGTGAAGGAAGGATGCATGATGTGATGAGGGCTGGACTGGGAAGCAGAACCCAGACACTGATTAGATGGATTGGAGGTGACTGGCATCGAGGAGGGTTAGAAATGTCAAAGTGATGACAGCAGAGAGAAGAACAGATTCAAAGTTTGACAGTGCAGGATGACTGACCGAGGTAATGGTAAAATCTGGTCAGTTTAATGCTTAGAGCGAAAAATCGCCCAAAATCCATGTTTCTGCCATGTTTGTAAAAAGTGAAGAAGTGCACTCTGGGATTGCTGAAAAGTAACCAACAAAAGATACAAAGCAAAAATATATATTCCCAATTCTAGTCTGATCTTTGAAAATGTTGTGCATCAAAGGGAGACACAACTTCTGCCAAAGACAAATAACTTATCAGACTGCTGTACACAAGATGTCCTCTGGTACATCAGTACATTTTGACCCTTCACACAGTGTGATCTGTTGCGTTTCCATCTGTCTAATGGGATGACTTTGTATTCTTTCTAACTCATATATTCAATATAGTTGTTCATGCTGCTCAAACTGCAACATCAGCAGTACTCTCAGGTCCTCTGATCAGGCTTTGCTTGTAATCTCTCTTACAAGACTTAAAACTAAAAGAAGACTTTTTGAGGCTTTAGCTCCTAAACTTTGAAACTGTCTCCTGAGAGCTGCGAACTCTGCAGACATTGTTTTAGAAAAGCCGATTGAAGATCTTTTTATTTAGACTTGCCTTTGTTTAATGTACTTATCTTGTTTATTGTCTTATGCGACCTCTGTGTGTTGCCGTTTAAATCTTTAAATGTGACGTCTGTTCTTAAAAGGTCCCACATAACAAACTTTATTTTCTTACTTCAATAACAAAGTTATCTATCAGAAAAATAAGATTCATTTTGACTTTCTGTGTGTTCACAATCCTGTTTATTTCTCTTGAAGTTTTCTTTGCAGAATATCTAATATTTGGATAGATATAAGGGTCAGTTTGTTTTTACTTTTATTTTATCAGGAATGTTCCCATCTAGAAAGAAACACTTTTACAACGGCGTCTTGGCCAAGACAGCAGCATATTATGCAAACATATTATGCAAAATGCACTGTACCATGGTTTTGTAAAGCTAAGATGTGTCACTAGTCTGTCTCTAAACAAAGACAAAGATGAGGGAGAAAAGCATAGAAAGCACTTTTACAAAACACAGAGCGAGTTTGAGAGATGACATGCATCATGTGTTCATATATGTATACAACGTATTCTGAAAGTTTCAGTGTGGTTTCAAATACAAAATGCAAACAGGTGTTTTTACATTTCGATGGTATTAAAATACTTTTAAATTGCAGCTTACAAAATTGAGTTGCTGCTGCTGTTCGATTGTTTGCTGGCCCTCCAGTGTCTCCTGGCTCTCGGCCCTCCAGCTCCACTGACCTCCACTCCTCACAGGAAACCTCCAGGCCCCTGAGAGCCTCTGGCACCTGCCAACCTGCCATTCTTCCTGCCCTGAAATAGACCCTAACTGGCACTTATCTGATCTGTGTGTGTGTGTGTGTGTGTGTGTGTGTGTGTGTGTGTGTGTGTGTGTGTGTGTGTGTGTGTGTGTGTTTCTTATCTTGGGGAGTTGGTATAGAGCCATGCTGACTGCAGCACATTCCCTGACTTCCTGTTGAGCCCCAGACAGCTGGAGATCGATCAGCGCACTGATGCATCACTTTAGAGGCCACATGCATTATAAACTGAAACACACACACAAAAGCACACAAACAACAACATTTGTGCATGCATATAGACAAAAGTGTGAAATGTGTGATTTCAGACAGACTTCCATTACCATCTGGAGTCCGCAGCAGATTATACAACAGCAGGGCGGACTTGCGGAGGATGAATGGGAGTGGACAGGTTATTAATGGTGAAGGAATAAAAGTTTATAATAAAGAATAATGCCAGTCAATCACCTGCTTACACAGACAATCATTAACAAAAGAAATGGTGGATGACTATGTGTGCAAATGTCTTTAAGCCTGCAGGTCACCCAGGTGCTGCACTTCACAGAGTGATATTCAGAGACAGGTTGCAGGCTGGCTGACCCAGCGTACTGTGCACACCAAAGAAGAGTCAGCGTGTCTGGAATGTGTGCCTGGGAAGAGTCCACCGACCTTTCTGAATTCCTTCCCCTCTTTTAAATAGACCGGAGAGGTGTGGGCTTTTATACTTGGATGAATCTATAGCAGTCTTGGATGCACTGAGCTGTATCCTTGTTGATGACCTTTCATATTTGTGGTAAAGTCATGAAGGACTTTTGATCCACAAAATCACCCATTTAGACAAAAAAAAAGTCAAACTTGAAAGGGTATATGCAAACTATTAAACGTGAAATTAAATGAAAACATTTTTGCTAAACTAAATTATCACTGATTATTTTAAAAAACTGTGAATTCAGTTTAGTCTATGCATGTTTCTTTGACTTTGTTTAGTTTGTCTATCTATAATCCAAGTGAAACAGAAAGGTCTGTTTTTACAGATTTGTTCAGTAGAGGATGTGTTGAATCAAAGTGAAGGATATATGCTCCCTATAGACACAGATCAGACCACAGGACAGGAAGAGTCTCAGTTTGCCTCTGTTCTGGCACATTTTCCCTCCTTTCCCCCTCCAAATCTTCAACTATTATTGCCCACCATTTTTTTTTTAAATCATTCGTAAAGATATGAAATGTCTAATGTCAATTGTACAAATCTTTATAAACCACAGTATTTACACTTGATTACACTCAGATATTTAACAGATCTCAAATTATTTTGATTATGTGCCTACATGGCTGTATGTTTATGACTTTGATCCAAGAGCACCACACACTTCTTACCTCAGAAAGGAAGCAGTCTGTATGATTATACATATTTCTAGGAAGTGGAAATAACCATAAATTAGACAAGCGCTGCACCTTTTTAGGATTTTCCCTCGACTCCCAACCATTGTCTATTGAAATGATTTCTAACCCTTTTATAAAATATATTTGAAAAGATGTAGGCCTGTGTTTTGCTTGTTTGGTTTGGCAACACTTAAAACCAACTCTGCGATCAGGCTTTTTGTTTGCCAAGATGCTGACACAATGTTGAACTTGGAAGTGTCCACAGTGGTATCAACATCAATTATCAGTCACCTCAAACAGGTCAGTAAAAGGTTAAAGTTAAGGTTTTGATCAAATAGAACCTTGTTTTGCTGTCTCACCTTCACGCTAATAAAAGCTTAAGTTATAGGCCATGTAAGTGTCAGCTGCCTGTGACAACGCTGTACCATAACTTGTATGTTATTTAAAGCTCCGTCAATACTACTGAATAAGGACATGCCTGTAGAGCCAGTTACTCTGTAAGCTGTGTTAACAGAGCTGAAAAAGACAAAAGGCAGACTTCCCTGTGTAGAGTTTTTGCTTTTGATAAATGGTATTACAGTTCATGTGAAACAATTATTCCCATAAGGGAGTTGTGTTGAATAAATACATCTCATTATCACAATTGTAAAATAAAGGAATACTTTTTTTTTTGCAAG